CCGCCGGCTGAATACAGCCGCAGGTAGCTGCGGTGCCCCTTGGGCTGGCCTGCCGCGGGTGCCGGTGTTTTCTTGGCTCACTAGAAAGCGAAAGCTGTCGTCCAGCCAGCCGGGATCTGCGAGTCCCCTCGGCTCCTGGCTACGCCAGGGTTGCGGGGCAGACCTCGCGTGGGAGCCTTCACTGTGGCTTAAGGAGGCGAAGATCGGCAGCGAGATCTGAGTAAGCAGCAGTGCTCTTGGTATCTGCAGTATTGCATTCGGTCAGAGATAAAGTGTTGCCTTTAAAGTGGTGCTGGAGTTTTCTCTCCAGCAGCTGTTTTTAGCCTGAAAAAAGCTCCCATTGTATAGTAAATTTTTTCCAAATGTTATTTGTTTCATAGGCTATCTCTAAAGTATTAAGGGTATTCTTAAGGGTATTCAGAATGAATGCTGAGTGGCATTTAAAACAGAAAGGAGGTAACATAACTTGTGAAAGTTGAGTATGGTTAGCTTAAAAATCAGTGAAAATTCCTGCACTAGTCAGCAACTGAGAGAGCATTACTCAAGCTGGATAATAGTTTATAGCCACTTTACCCTATAGTATTTGATGGAGTTGTTCTCCATAAAGTACCTTAGAAAAGGTAAAACTCAGTGTTGTTAATTTGACTGATAGAATGGTTGCCTATCTGAGAACTGTAGCAAATACCGAATGATAGTAAATGCAGAGTGCCCTTCTGACTAGTTGGAGAGGGGAGGTCACAATGCCATAGGTATCCCCTTGCTTTTTGCTTCCCCCCTCAAGTAAACAAGGTCTTCCCAGATCAAGTTTTTCTCCTGCTTATGCTTGCTGATCTGTTCTTGCTACATGAAAATACTTTCCTCAGTCTTCTTTCTGATAGAAATGGTATCTTATATTCATTTTAGGTGATCGTTTATTTGTGTCAGGAAAATGAGTGACTACAGAAAAGGAGTGGAAGAAAATTAAGACAGTACTGGCTAGCGTAATGGGCAGCTGAGTGAGTTAACATAGTTTCCATGATCCTTTTTCCATCTGTCAAGGGAACCTTCTACAGGGAGGCTATGATAAACAAGTAGGAATGTCAAAGTCTGCTTATCCAGCAAGAATGTACTGGGTTTTTTCTTTTTAATCACAAAGATCATACAGCAAAGGTAGCCTCATCTCATTTATAAAGATGCTTTAAAAACCAAACCCCAAATCTGCAATGTGTGTCCAAAAGGTTTTATTTTCCTTGTGCCAGTATTTGATTTATCATCAGTGGTGTTATATTCCTAGAATTTTACTTACATGATAGTTAAATAAATACATTAAGATGGCTATACAGGCATTCTAAACAGTAAAACCACTTGTCTCTAGTTAGCCTCTAAATGCTTTTCTTGTCCTCAAAGTGAGGAGGTTAAAGTTGTGATCAGCAGGTTTAAGCTTTGTGGCCTGAGTCTGGTTCGTTTTCCTGTGTTTTTACTCTTCAGTTTTATAAGGAACACCACTATCTTAATCAGGCATTCCTAATCTCAGGCTTGTGCTTCCTTGTAAGTCATCACAGTGTGTCTTGTTGACCTTATCAAATCTTATTCTCCCCCCCCCCCCCCATGCCTGTAACCACAGTCTAGGAATGTGATTTTCCTCTGCCTTTTTTACTTCTCTAGGTAGATGGAAAATTCCACCAAGCTCTTAGCACTGTTATGCACTTATTATAGGTGCAAATATTTATGCAAGGTACAAGGTTGGAAAAAAAAAAAACCCCAGGACTCTGATTTATCTGGAACAAAGTTCACAGGGAGAATGCTAAGTTAGTGTTACTGAATAGTGTGTCCTGTGGTTTGTTAGAAATTTGATGCTGATGATACTAAATCCAACTAAATAGTTGGAGAAAGGGGCTTTGTAAATATGAAACAATTTGGCAGTACTACATGTCTATCTTGAACTGATGTTCTGGTAAGCGCTCCTAAGGATTCTTTTTTTGGCCTCCTTACTGTGAAGCATGACTCCTTTAGTTCATCTGGGAAAAATATGAAACACTGAACAGAACAGTTGACCAATTTGATTGAGTTCAACTATGGAATTATACAACTTTTATCTTTTTCAATTTTATGTATCACAAAACTGAATAGCTAATGATACTAACATGAGTGATAAACCATATGTTAATGTTCTTCAGCTGAACAGATTGAAAAGATATCTTTTAGGGGGCGAGAAGCATAGTCTTTCAAAAGCCATACAATGACAATTTCTTGAATGAAATCCAAGTTTGGATTAAAGCTCTATATTAATTTTTTTATATTGTGGTGGAAAACACTTCTTAACACAGTAAGTTTAGAAACATCTGCAAAGTTAATGTTCCCAAGAACTGGGGAATAACATGTCCACTAAAACCTCTACTTAGTGACAGAAAATCTCCATCAGGTTCTCAGGAATAGATGTGCTAAGCCTGAAGTTGACAGTCCTAGATCTTATATGATGATGTATGGAAATTGTTTGCTTTGCTTTTGGACATTTTGAAATTTGAGCTTGAAAAAACCTGCAAGTAGTCCTAATTGCTTTTGCATTTCAGTAACAACTGTAACAAACAGATGAGAGGTCCAAGGTGTTGCTTGTCTGCATTCTGTTGCAAGCTTTTGGAAAGCCATTCGAATGTAACAGTATTCAAACTATTTGGTTCACACCCTTTGTTCCTATGCTTTGAAGCAATCTACATAAGGATTAATAATAAACTAATGCTTGTATCAGAGCTTAGGAGAAAAAACTTTTTAGTGGTAACAGGTGATGGATTTTCTGATGGATATTTATATATTTTCTAAGTATATAAATATCTCATTTATACAAGTTTATGCTGATGTTTTAGATGAGTTTCAGAATGTCTGATTGCAAAAAAACTTTCTCATGATTTAACAGAAATAGAGGGTACAGCTCTTATTCTAGATATCTTGACTTAAACTTTTAGAAGGACCTTAGTGGAATAGCAGTATAGATAAAATTGTGTTTCAGCTAGCTTTAAGCCTTAATGTTTGATTTTAAGCAGCAGTCATAAATTGCAGATATTGTTTCTGGTTCTCCTATGGTCAGCAAGGAATGTCAAAATCTTTATTTTGCATGAGAAGGCTCTGAAAAGTGTCTAGTAATGCAGCTTTCATGAGGGATGAGAGCCAAAAAGGAAATTATGAAAGAATACAATGGTGCACTTGAATCATCTTCCTTTCTTAACAGCTGTGATATGCTTCTTGTGTAGTATGATGATAACAAAACCACCTCTTCTGTCAGTAGCTACGTACTATTTATCACTTACTAGCTGTTATGGAGGTGTTCCAAAAATGGAGCTGCTGACATTAGTTTGGAAATGATAGCTGAGAATTCTTGTCACCCTCTTCCCTTCCAGGGAAGGGTGGGAGTACAGGGCTTCTTATTGGAGATGTAACTCCAGGCTATTCTTTTTTCATCATCAGTTGCTGTTATTGCATATCATATCTAAACCACTAAATCAGAAATGCAGAAATTTGAAGTCTTCAAAATAACTGGTGCCTGCTTTCTGTGTGTGTGTTGCTTAACTTGGAATTAAGCAAGCTGCCCAGTCCGATTGTAGAGAACTTGCCTTAGGTGGAACTGAGCAAATTGCCCAACCCTATGCAAAGAATGAAAGTTGCTGAGGAGACAAGGAAAAAAACAAAACAGTTGTTGGCAGGTCATCCTAAAGGAGGGAACAGTTGAACCTAAACAAATAGCCTGGAGAAAGAACAAACCTGAAAAAAACCTTTGCCTCAGTTGTCACAGATCAGACAACTGCTGTGCAACCTGTTCTCAAGTAAGTTTTAGTAACAGAAGCATTGTGTGTGTGCTGGTGAAGGCTTTAAAAACAATTTAATCTGAAAGTGACACTGAGTCCTAGTTTAACATTGTAGAAAATCATACCTTTACAGAGTAAACATTAAAATTCAATTCAGTCTTATTTCGTGTATTTATTAACTTCACCTGAAGAGGCTCTGAAATGCCAAGATCTTCTGTAGGGCATTCTTTCAGTGTTGAAGGAATTGCTATTCTAGATAGGTTTAACCCATTCCCATCATGGACTATGCTAAAGATGTTAGATGTCTAGTATCTTGGGTTGTCTAGTATCTTGGTAATGTTGACACCATGATGCTAAACTTAATACTGGCTTTGGAATTTTTGCTTCAGATTGTGGATTTTAAAAGTCTGCACTAACTTTCTGCTTACTTTGTGTCCCAACTCCCTCACGAACCTCTCTAGAAAGAGGCTTTTTAATTTTTAACTCAAATGTCCTAGAAGCCTGGAAGTTGCTTTAGTGAACCCCAACATGAACAAACTGTTTGGATTCAGGCAGTCCTGTAAAGGAAGAAATGTGATCAGGTGTAAAGTCTTTCTGACTGCTTTCCAGATGCAGAGAAGATCAGTACACTTTCCATCTTTAGATGGAAAAAGAGAACAGGAGTAGAGATAAGCAAAAGAAGGAAAGATAGTACAGCAGAGGTCTGTGCTATCATGAGTAATGTAGAGGTCATCAGTGGAGGCTGTGTCCAGATTATTTCTAGCCATAAAGGAATTAAGGAAAATACAGTGGAACTGTTCATCAAATATTTTTTTCTCTTTAATTGCCATTTACTGAATCGGATAACCAAAGAGTGTTAGCGACCAAAAATATAAATGGGTAGAAGGCAGAGTTAGACAAATTTTTGGAGAATGAGCTTATTTGTAGATTATTGAATATTAAGATGCAATTTATGGCTCACGAAGTGCCTAAACTGCTGATTGCGATATACTGCCAATGTAACTTGTTTTGTGCATTTTTTTTTATTTTTTTTTTTGAACACAGCTTCTGGCAACAGAAGTCCAGTGTAATGAGGTCTGTCCCTATGAGGAATCACTCACATGCTAATTCCTGTTTCTTTTTTTTTTTTTTTTTCCTTCAGTCTCCCACAGTCAAATCACCCGCTTGTACAGCCGCTTCACCAGCCTAGACAAAGGAGAAAATGGGACTCTTAGGTGGGTATTGTCACTAATTCAGCTGTCCTTGCATTGACACATATCTGTAATGGTGGCTTGCTGTTCCAGGATGCCTGCATGTTTTCCTCATATGGTGAATCAGTGAGGCTATTATAACAGGTTCTTTCGTAGCTACTGTCTACACGGACGTTCAAGTTTGTTCTCTTTTATGAAAGGTCAGGAGAAATCTGATTGTTGAACTGAGGTGCTCTAAATACCAATTGTCTTTACTGTAGTGCTGAAGGTTTGTAGCAGTTAATATAAGAAAGATCAGGTTTGGTATTCAAGGTCTTAGAACAAATGTTCAGAAATGTTAAACCACATTTTTAGATTGTTATTTCTTACCTTTCTTTGTATGTTGCTTCTAATAATTGTTACAAGAACGGTTCCACTATGCCTTTATCCTGGCTTTCATAACAAAACAATCACTTATATTTTTGTGTGTTTTAATGCTACTTTGACCTGCAAGCCCTCTACTTTGCACCTCTTGTTGAACACTCATGTCTATTAGTATGCTCAGAAATAAAAAGGAGCTGGAACTGAGTCACTGTGGCTAAACAAGTACACATTTTATTCTTTAAAGAAATAGCGCAGGATATTCCAAGACCTTTAAAGTGTTTGTCTTCCATCTACAATTTGAAAACTACAGAAGTGAACCAGTTCATTACAACTTGATTAAATAAAGATGAGGCTTAAACTTTATCTGCAAAATATTTTTCACTTTGCTGAACTGAGGCTGCTGGAAGATTGCCTGTTAAAATATGTCTTTGCCTGCTGTCTTTGTTCTCTAGCCTTCCTCACTCTGGTTATTGTATTGCATGTTGGTATTGGCTTGCTCTTTATTTACTGAACTAATTATGAATTCTGATTGTATTAAACTGCTTATTATTCTTCTCTTTTGATGTTGCCTACAGATTACATTAATGTTATGGAAACATGACAAATAAGTGCTGTCTATAGCTGCACCAGGGGTGCAATTTTGTGACCACATATGTGGTCTAAGACCACACTGCCACTGAAAGTATGTTGCTTTTCTGTGTTGATGCTGGTACTGAAGGCTCATATTTGGAAACTAACCTACAGCTTTGAAAACTTGCCAAGCAAAACAACAAAAAGGGAATAAGATCAGTTTTCAGGTGGATCTTGTTTCCCATTCACCATATAGCCATATATGTCAGAACCAGCGCACAGAGAAGCTGGAGAGAATGCAGGAGAGAGTAGGAAGGGGAAAGGGACCTTGTTGTACATGGGGTCTGGCTGGGATGGAATTAATTTTTTTCTTCATAGCAGCTCTATCCCAGTCAAACCCAGTAAATATAGATTCAGGGATCACCTGGGGTTTTGTGTATGATCTTGCAAAATGTGATTGTAGGATGCTCTATAAACCTATAAAAGCTAGACCTACTTATAAACCATAAAGCTAGAATCGTTGCTTAAGATGAAGGTGACAAGTTGTAAGATATGCAATCTTTGGCAGTACTGCTGGCTTACTGCAGTTTCCTTTCCTAAAGGAAATATGCAGTTCCTCCTGGTGCCACAAATTGCTGACTTTTCAGTTAAGTAATTGGATGTGGAGTTGTACTATAAAGAGGACAACTGAGTGATTATTTTTGGTTAAAAATACTCTCCCTCCCCTTTTGGTTTGTGTAGATATTTTTAAGCTGACTCCAGTGATTTGTACTGTGGCTATACTGTAAATATCTGGACTTGCGTAGCTGAAGGGATGACAAAATGGATTCTGGGTGTGGAAACAATTGGCTTGGGATGGGCAGGAACTTCTTAAGCCCACTCTGTCACTGAAGCCAATGTATCATATAAATTGTAGCATTGACTAATTGGCAATTGTGACATACAGATCAGCTGATGATACTGTAGGTAAGGTTAATACTGCTTGTGTCTCACATTACTTGGAAGAAAAACATTAACAGCCTCTTCAAATTTTGCATGTGGGTTTAATCTTCTCTGGTTAATAGAGGTGATGGCTGCCAGACTAGCACAATTTGAACCTAGCACACACTTCTCCTCAACACCTCCCTCCAACTTCAAATTCAACCGTTGAGTCCATAAAGTTTGTATAAATTGCAAAGTGATTGTACTTGGTTTACGTAAGAGGAGTAATTAATTAAATATGCTGAGAATGTCTGTTTCACAATACTTAGTTTCATAGTGTTTTGTATCAGGAGGAGTTTGACTTTCATTGTTGATAATCACATGGTACTTGGGAAAGGAAGTGAAGTTTGTTTGGAAAAATCTCAGCAACGGTACAAACTGTGATCCATTAACTTGCAGTCTTGGCAGCTAAGCATAGCCTGCTCCCAAATGTGGCTGACTTAGTGGCATTCAAATTTTGAAACCTGTCCTGGTACCCACAATATGTGGAAACCATTAAGTTCAAGTAATGGAAAACTGCTTCCTGAAAAAAACAATGAGGGGAGAGTAAGAACTACAGCTCAGAAGGTCATAGATGTTGGTTTCTGAACTACTGATCAATGAGAACTTGCTACTTTGAGATAAGTGAAATGAAGTTACCACTTGCTTACTACCACCAAGCAGTTTGGAAGGCATGTCTTCTGTTTGTTTCCTGTGAGCAAGAGTGATTGTTTCCATAAGGATGAATTATACCTTTGACTTCCTAATCAGACGTGACAGAAATCACTCACGTGGCTACGATCAGGAAAAGAAATGTTAGGCAATTCTTTATGGCATGAAATAAATCTTTAAATGTGTACCACCCTTCTGGAGAAGGGGAAAACCTGTGCTGTCCTTCTTATCTATGTATTAAAAATGGGCAAGGTAAAGAGTACTTTGTACAGAAGATCTGGCACATGGTGATTAATCCTGGTGGTTAGAGAAGATGGGTAGTTCATTCTGGAACTATAATCAAAAGCTGAAATCTTTCCTAGCCAGATGTTTCTATCCAGTGTACCTATGTGCAGTTTCAAGGCACTTTCTTTTTACAGAGTTACATAAATGAGATTTAAGAGAAGGGTATTGATAGAGACAAAACTTCATAGGCTTTGTTCTGGCTCCTCCCATGTCTCCCCCAATCTTATCTTCTAAATGACTACAGCCACAGTTACTGATTAACTCTTATGAATTCTTTTAAAAGTGAAGGAAAATGTTAATTTTTCCTTAGCTTCGCTTTTCCTAAACAAAATGAGTAAGCTGCCTCAGACTTGCACCATCTGAATGAAACCAGGTTGTAAAAGCCAGGACAAAGTTGTTCCTTTGAAAATTCTTTTGTCACCTTTGATTTCAATATTGTGACATGCTAATTTGCCAAAATAAAAGGTTGATACCCTTAGATGTCCATAGCTATGTCTAAACTGTGAAACCTGAAACATACTTGTTCTGCCTACCTCCTAACTATAGGTCAGGAGGAAACCAATGTGCATGTTTCCTTCTTTACATTCTGATTTCCAAGATGAGGAAATTGAAGCATGTGACCAGGATAAGTATGTGCTTGCTTCAGTGAGTCTCCTTGTTGGGCTGGTACTGGAGCGTACCCACACAAGAATACATCTGCTCCAAAACTTACCTACTAGTAAGTAGCTCTAGACAGGCACATATAGAGCTATAAAAAGGAGATACTTGTCTAAATGCTACTTTTGCATGTAACTTTTGCATGGAGCCTCCTACTTACAGTAGTTTCTTCTGCACTGCGGAAATGACAGGTTAAGCACTTCAGAAGTATCTTTTACAGTACAACAATTGGTATAGCCTGGTGAGCATGGAAGAAGGAAGGGAGGGCAAGTATTCTGAAAGCTGATACATGAGGAGAATAGACACTGAGCTGTTTATGCATAATCTCATGTTTATGAAAACCCTTCACAAGATGGTGTCTCCTGGAGAGCTTCAGAAAGTTTCCGATCCTGAGAGAAGGGTAACAAGAGCTAGCCCAGCCCAATCTGTTAATCTTTGAATTGTCTAAGTCTGGAAAGATTTCAAAGTAAAACATAAAAGCTAGCTCTCTGAATGTCAAGTTCTTTACCTGTGCTTAGGAAAATGCAAAGGATTTTTAGCTTTATCTAAAACGGGCAAGGCAGGCAGGTCACAAGCGGTGTCCCCCAGGGCTCAGTTCTAGGGCCAGTCTTGTTTAATATCTTTATCAATGACCTGGATGAGGGGATTGAGTGTGCCCTCAGCAAATTTGCAGACGACACCAAACTGGGTGGTAGTGTTGATCTGCTTGAGGGGAGGAGGGCTCTGCAGAGAGACCTGGACAGGCTGGATCGATGGGCTGTATGAAGTTCAACAAGGCCAAGTGCCGGGTCCTGCACTTTGGTCACAACAACCCCATGCAGCGCTACAGGCTTGGGGAAGAGTGGCTGGAAAGCTGCCTGGTGGAAAAGGACCTGGGAGTACTGGTTGACAGCCAGCTGAATATGAGCCAGCAGTGTGCCCAGGTGGTCAAGAAGGCCAATGGCATCCTGGCCTGTATCAGAAATAGTGTGACTAGTAGGAGTAGGGAAGTGATAGTGCCCCTGTACTCGGTGCTGGTGAGGCCGCACCTTGAATACTGTGTTCAGTTTTGAGCCCCTCACTACAAGAAGGATGTTGCATTGCTGGAGCATGTCCAGAGGAGAGCAACCAAGCTGGTGAGGGGTCTGGAGCACAAGTCATACGAGGAACGGCTGAGGGAACTGGGGTTGTTTAGTCTGGAGAAGAGGAGGCTGAGGGGAGACCTCTGCCCAGGGAGGTGGTAGAGTCCTCCTCCCTGGAGGTATTTAAAAGAAGGATAGATGAGGTGCTTAGGGACGTGGTTTAGTTGTGGGATGGCAGGGTTAGGTTAAAGGTTGGACTCGATGATCTCAAAGGTCTTTTCCAACCAAAGTGATTCTATGATTCTATATGGGTTTGCATCAGAGAATGGTAGGGTACTAGAATAGTCTATACTTCCATCCTCGACTATGCTTTATTCACACTGCTTCCTCCCCCCTGTGGCTCTTCTAATTATCACCTTTTATTTTAGTGTACTTCTTGGCCTAATGTTTATAAACCAATTATTCTTCCAGTAGTTAAGCGACTTTTTGAATTTGTGTAGAGCATGTGTAAGAATGAAGTTAGATGAGATGGCTGACATGGCTGTGAAGGAGGAGGATATCCATCCCCTTTCCCTTTCATTTCTCCAGGCTAGCAGCACATATTTGTCACCTGTGGTGCTGTTAGATTTTTTTCTTTTTTTTAAGTTTTTTTGAACTGCTTTGAGTTGCAAATTCAACAGAAAGATAATTGGGAGGACAGAGGGGAGGATGGTGGGGAACTTTTTGGGGGATTAGTGGGCTACATTAGACCACCATAATATCTGATGAATGACAAAGCTAAGGTTAGCAAGGCAAGGGAGCAATGAAACTTCTTGAGTAGTAACTTGTTAAATCTCTTTGACCATCTTGCGTGATACACCTTACTACTTCTAATTATTTGCCTTTTTCAAGTAATTTTATGTTGCCTATATCCTCTGGACATTTTTCCTTTCCTCTACTACTTCCATTTCACATACGGTTTGTTTTCTCTCCATTACTTTAGTTTCCCTCAGCTCTAGATAGCCCTACCCTCTTCATCCCTGTTCAGGGTATGGTATTCTCTGCTACTACCCAGAAGTAAAAGAAGGATGAACAGTCAGAAATTATGGAAGAAAAAAGGGTCTTGTAGGTTTCTTGCAGTCTTTGGGGTAAGGCAGAGCCACCTCTATGGTGGGGATCTGCAATGTGCCTTGGAGGGTATACTCATGCTTAGAAATACTTGGCTGTCTCAAAAACTACAAATTCCTTGCTGATAAGTATGTCTAAGTGCGAATGTGCTGGCATATGTATTAAATGGTTGGCCTGCATAATGATAGCATACAGCTAAAGGTTGCTTTGCACATGATGTTTAAGCAAGGGTTTAATAGAAGCCAGGTTCCTGGAAAGATACCTTAGAAGAGCCTTGTTGCCGTGGCACATGAACACAGAAGAAGTAGAGGGCATCAAATTTCTGTAAGCTCCAGCCTTGGCCAGGTGAAGTTGGTACCTAATGACTGCAGGAAGCCTTAGTTTATGAAGTGGAGAATAATTTGCATCATACGTTCATTTACTTTTATGGCTGTTAGAGCTGTTTCAATTATAACACTCACTCAGTAATGTGCTCTTAATAAGCAAAAATGGTCTACTGCAATCCTGATAATGACAGGACAAATAGATTTGAAATCTGGGGAGTTTTTTGTGGTTAATTGTTAATCTCCTGTTAGAAAGCAGAACAACTGGAGGCTGAAATGCCATGTAAATTGAGGCTCAATACTAAGAAATAGTGATACAGAAGTAAAAAATTCTGAAGCATTAGGACTTTGCTCTAAGTGGAAGAGAGGGCAGTTGCTGCTTTTAGCTTGTAAATGTTAGCATTGACACTGAAGTCCTGTTGTTAAAATTTTGTTACTAGGACATAGGTTTTCCACATCACTGCATCTCCTGCATAAATTGCTAATGCATACTTTGCCCTTCAGCTATAGCTTAAAATGCAGCAGTCCTGAAGGGTCTGGTAACAAGGTGATCATGTTGTATAGATGTTAACTTTGCCCATTAAAAATAATTCAGACCTGGTCAAAGCGGAAATTTGCTGGGATAGCGTAAAAATATGGTCAGGTTGCTCTATTAGAAGGTCAAACAGTTTAACCATGGTGTAACAGATATAATTGGGACTCTTTAACAGTGCTGTTGTGTGCCTGGGTACAAGGAGTGCTTTAGAACGCATTTAAAGCTAGAACGTCTTGCTTCTGTGCCTTTCCCAGGCTAGACTAGTAAAAAGGTTAGCCAATTCCTTTTTTCACCTGTCTTTAAGATCACAGTATTATAAAAGGCCAGTACACTTAAATAATCTCAAAATCTATTCATGTTTACTTTACTCTGCCATTTTTTTTGGTGTAATGACATCATGAATCAAACCTTGTTGCTGATTCATTTAGTGAGTATAGGTTTCAAAAGTAGCAAACGTTTAGTAACCAAGTTTGAGACTTTGACCTAAACTTCAAAAACAGCAGTACTACATTTGACTTGCCAGTATTTCTGGAGTTGGGGCAGGAGATGTCAAGTTATGCATTCAGACAGAGTAGATTTTTTACAGCCTTACCCCTTTGCTGTTACCTTTGCAATTTAAAACCTAAATGATTATGGAGTGCATCTTGTACTAACTGATAAATTGTTGTGCTCTGTTGTAATGGGTAAAACAACCCAAACCCCTAGAACCAGACCTGTTGACCGAAGTATTTTGTTAAGACACAGTTGGTGTGTCTGCCTTGGTCATGCCAAGATTATCCCACTTTCCTGTCAGTGGCATTCCATTAGGTTGAAAGAAAAGAAAAATTATTAGGGTCCATTCTATTATTAGAGTTGCACTATGTTTGTGTCATACTGATCCAAAATGTATTTACATCAGTACAGCTCATGATGCCTTCCAGGTCAGGAAAAGCTATAACATGTAAGCATAGCTATGCTTATACTATACTGTGTGGATGTAATCGTGAGCAGAAAGGAGAAGAGCAAGAGATTTGCAGTGTACTGGTGAAGTTACATCTGGTGTACAGGCCCCTGTCAAAGTCTAAATTTACTACTTTAAAATAGGAGCGCTGCTTGGTTGAAGCTAAAATAACCTGAAATTTGGCATTTATAATAAGATACAAAGTTGTTGCATTAAACAACAACAAAAAAAAATCTATTAGAATATGCAGATCACCTGTGGTATGCTTGGAGGAGTGTGGTATTGTCCCAGAATCTGGAATGGGGTAGTCTGGAAGAATCATGCCAACTCAAATGATTCAGTACCAAAATAATTATTTAAAAAAAAAAAACCCAAACAAATAGAAAGTTAGTTTTCATTTTGAAGCAGTGTTTTCCTTCAAAGCCATTTCAGAAGCTTTCCTTTCCCTAAATTGCAAACTTCTTGGCATCATTACTGGAAGGTTTCTAGCACACTGTTAATGTCTGAGAAGTGCTGTTAACGTGACAAATGAACACTGCTAGCCTGTAATGTAATACAGGCTTGGCATTGTCTTTTGCTTTGTTTTGTGCCATTGGCCTTAGAGAAAACATGATTTAAAGAGTAAAATTTTAAAAACCACCAAGTGTCTGGTTGCAAAAATAGAACCCAACGGATGTTTTGCTGTGAATTCTTTTTAAGCAACTTCTCCTCTGACTTCAACTTCATGTGGACTTCTTGTGTTCTTGCTTTACTTAGCCGTGAAGACTTCCAGCGGATTCCAGAGCTTGCTATCAATCCACTGGGAGACAGAATTATCAATGCCTTCTTTCCAGAAGGGTGAGTTCCAATGGTCTGAATTTGTGAGCAGGCACAAAATTTGTAGTTCATCAGAAGATTTGATAGAAGTGAAATGCTGATAATTTAAACACAGAATTTGAATTTACTAATAATGGAATACCTCAAGCTCGTCATGAAATGTGTGTGGGTACATTGTTTCCTCTGTAATGAGAAATACTTCACGACCTTAGAGTTTTGTGTGCTGTATTCATTGACAAACTCAGGCTTCCTCTCATGGTTTTCCACTCTACTTGCTATGCTGCTCAATACTTCTAAAGGAAGTCAAGAGCATGTATGGACTTTGGTTCTTAAAGCAAACGTGTAGCCATGCTATTTGATGCTAAGTAGTATTGCAATTAACTAATTCAGTCTTGTTTCTCACCTTTATAACCTTAAAGGTTACCTTTGTTATTAGATCAGCTTTTTTTGGTTTGGTTTTTTATCACATATAAGATGCAGCTTATGGTGCTTCTAACATAAATCCAAAGAGCTGATCAAATTTGCAGTTACTGTCTGTCTCCCTTCATTATACCTCTCTAGATTGTTCTATGGAATCTTCTGCTGTTCTTGAACACATTCGTCTTTACCAATTAATAATGATCGGATTGTCTAATCAAGTTATAATATCAGCCAATACCAGGCAGGGTTTCCTGAGTAGAAAGCGGGAGTCCTAGACAGTACTTACCTGGTTCCCACAGAAACTCTAGAGAAGAGAGCTATTTGTCAGGGAGCAGAAAGCGATGGCTGCGCCACAAGCAGGAGGCAAGGGTGACAGGGGAGCTGGCAGGGGTGATGTACTTGCTGATAAAGGGCACAGCAACTGAACAAGAAAAGCAGAGCAGGTCCAGTGACTGTTGTCATGTCAGCCAACAGTCCAGTGGTTGCCAGACAAGTTGGCAGTGATGAAGCAAGTCTCAGGTCAGTCCGGGGAATCAGGGTCCAGGTCGGCAAGACATGTTGCCAGACTCGGGCATAACTGCGGGATAGCTCAGGCAAGGGTAAGGGCTTGAGCTTAAATAGAGTTTGCAGGCACAGGGAGGGGAGCCCTCAACAAGACTTCTCACAGCTTTTTTTACACATACTTCACAACAGCATGATTCCAGGTTGCAACTGCCCTGTGTCAGAGCTGGGTTTGAGCATAGGCAGCCAAACCCTGGGGAGGTGGAAGAGTCTGCACAGTGTTAATGCTTTAGATATTAATACTCTTTACTGAAATAAAGAACTTGTATAAGCTATGCTGAAACTGACCTGCTGAAATGCTTATGCAGAGAGGACCAAGTGAATTTCCGTGGATTCATGAGGACACTAGCCCATTTCCGACCCATAGAAGATAACGAAAAGAGCAAAGACCAGAATGGACCAGAACCACTGAACAGCCGAAGTAACAAGCTCCACTGTAAGAAATGTGAACCCTCCTATAGAAGCAACTATTTTTCTTTTTTTGTTTTTCTGGGAAGGGAGCGAATGGTCTTGGGGTCTTCTGTACAGTTGTTCTCTGTGGAATTTTACTAATACCTGATTTTTTTATTTAATTAACCTGCAAGCTTACCCATTTAGAATGTCAGCAATTGATCTATTCTTGTATTGGAATTTGGTGGAATTGGCTGAATCTTGAGTAATGTATATGCTTTTCCAGATGTCTCATAACAGAAATGTTTCAAAATGGTTTGCATCCGAAGCTATTTCAGATTTAGAAGCCACATCCCATACATGAATGGGCTCTTCTGCTTCTTTATCCGGTCTACCATATAACGTAGTGCTTTTTCCTCACCTTCAGCTGACTACTTTCTCAAATATTTGGGCGTCTGCCTACAGTATGAGCAGAATGCTCTTGCTCGCTAATCAAAGTTGGCAACAGTCCTCAGAGTACTTAAAATTTCTGTCATATCTCATCCCGAATATAATCAAAGAGAATGAATGGTTGTCTCTGAAGTTAAAGGATTGAATGTATCTTAGTGTTAATTATACTTCCATGACTTGGGGCTTTGAAGATATACCTGTGCAAGCAGAGTGCTTCTGAAAGTACTCATACTGAGTGAGTTACTTTACTTTAATTAAGATTTTTTCACTTCTTGGCAATAATGCTATTCCTGTATGTGGTAATAACACTTTATGGAACTGAGCATGAATTTTATGGTGAATTAAAATTCTAAGCTAATTCTCTTAAAATTGTTTATGAATACCTACTTTTTTATTTTTTTAGATAAATGTATTGTTATGAAGAGAAATAATGGCACTTGAATTAAGCTGCTCATTCTTTTCTTCCCTGTAGTTGCTTTTCGGTTATATGATCTAGATAAAGACGACAAGATTTCCAGGGATGAGCTTCTTCAGGTAAATAGCACAGGGCTGCTTTGAATGACTCTTGTGACCTTCTCTGTGAATTCACACCCATTTAGAATGAAGAGGGGAATTACAACAGTCTTCTCAAAAGAACTCCTGAAGGAATTTAGCTAATTGCTTATCTCTGGTTTAAAGCTTTAGATATGGTATGAGACTTAAATCTCATTTGATAGCCCAGGCAGTTCAGTCAGACTGGGAATGCTAGATTCAGGTTTAAACCAGTGTTAGGCTAAGCATATCCTATCAGACATGACACCTAAATATCCAACAAATACACTAAGCCCCTTAAGAACTACATTCTATAACTTTCAAAGGTGCATCTGTCAGGAATTCACAGGGACAATCCTTCAGGTGGATTGGGTTGTTTGCCTGATCCTCTGTGCATCCTCTCAATAGAATAAAACTTCTTGAAATTGCAGCAAAGGTAATCAAAGTTCATCAGTGCTGCATATATATGAAACTAGGCTTGAGCTAGGAGTAATTACATACTACTAATCCTGGGAAGTAGACATGGCAATTTGTGGTTCCTGATGTAGGACAAGGATTTGCTTTTGACCGAGACTGCCCTCTTCTATCTGCACAGAAAATGCTTTACTAACTGTAGAGAGTAATGGCAGTTATCATTTGACCATATACTTACAAGATTCCTGTAGGCAACTGTCTCTAACAGCAGATATTCAATCAGTGTTGGTATGATTTGTGGGAAAAAAATAGACAAAAGCATTGGAACAAAACACACTCATTCCTAGTTCCAAAAGCTTTCTCAAACATCTGCCTCTTCCTGCTGCCTAGTGAAAAAGCAGGATTCTTTGTCAAATGTGGCTACAAAAGGAAGCTGTCTTTCCTGAAAGCCTTGACGTACAAAGGACAAATAGAAGTCTGTCTAGAAATTACTTCCACGGGAATCCTCCAGGGTTGTTCTTGTATGGTGTTATTTTGACAGTATACACAAAAAAAACCAGTACTAAGAATACTTCTGTTCCTATGTCAATAATGATTAATTGGTTTTCTTATAAAAAAAAAAACAATCTGTGGACTTCTGTATGTTACAGGTATTACGGATGATGGTTGGTGTAAACATTTCAGATGAGCAGCTGGGCAGCATTGCTGACAGGACGATCCAGGAAGCTGATCAAGATGGAGATAGTGCCATCTCCTTTGCAGAGTTTGTAAAGGTTGGTAAACTACACTCTTAACAACTAAATGAAACTGCTCAGTAGTGGGCAAGTCATTCAGACTTAAACACAAATAGAAACGGAGAGGAAGTTGTTCAAATAGGCCTGCCTGCCTGCATCTGGGCAAAGCAAGCCTTCTGCTAGCTCTTCTTCTTCCTTTCTTTATCAGGACTTTTTTTGTATATATTGCCAGGGTACTAATAATTAGTCCATGTTTCTTCATATTCTTACATAAGTTATAGCACTGAATATACTGCAGAATTTTCTTTTTTTTTCTTTTGCAACCACTTCTTTCTACACAAGTAGGCCAACTAGCACAGTTACAGCAGAGTAATTCTTCTGCTACAATGGTGCTGATCAGTTTTCACTTGTGGGTTTTATCCATTAGCAACACAACTAATATCAGTATTCAAGTTCCTAGCTCTAGTCCTTTGAATTGCGTCTTTTGTTAGTCAGAAATAGGTAATAGTAAGGAGTCATTATATAGTCAGTGGAGAAAGTTGTCCTGTAGCAGTACGATTTCAGCTACCTAATGGGATGGCATTGACAAGAGGAACCAGAGTCATCTTGGAGGTGGACAAAGAGAGGACAAGAGGCAACAGAAACAAGTTGCAACATGGGAAATTCTGGTTAGCCCTAAGGAAAACTTTTTACGAAGCGGATGATCGTAGGTGCCGAAAATGTAGAACCTCATTCCTTGGAGATATTAAAAAATTAACTGGACAAGGCCCTGATCTAGCTGGCCCTGCTTTAAGCAGGAGTTGAGGGAGCTGGACTAAGACCTCCAGAGGTCTCTTCAAACTTAAGTTACTCTGATCTTGGAGCACTGATGTCTACTGCCTGAAACAGTCTGGAGCAGACTGATGTCTTTGTACCTCAGTGTTAATAGCAATTCAGTGAATGAAGTTGCCACCTCAGTTTTACAATGATCTGCGTTAGTGATGCTGTGGTCTTGATTTTACCTCTTCAGTGAATGCTCATGCCCCTTCCTCTGCTCCATTCTCCCTTCTGTTTCCTGGCCATGCATTCCTACGCAATCTAATTTTGCGAATCCAAGCCTTTCTAGGCTGCTGGCAGTCTGAAACTTCACTAGTTACATTTTGGTTGACAGCCTTCTTCCAGTTTTAATGGTTGAAGTTTCCTTGGAAGGACCTTAGTCCAGAATGAAAAATAGCAGTCTCTAGATGAGAGACTGGCATGCCAAGTTGAAGACATCCCATGTTCTTGCCCATTTCCTCTATACTAGAGTAAGAAATCTTGTAGGAGAGAAGTATGTACAATAACTTAAGTAGCTGTTTCTGAATTCTGTTGCAGGTTTTGGAGAAGGTGGATGTAGAGCAGAAAATGAGCATTCGATTTCTTCACTGATGGATGGAGAACCTATTCCTTTCTACCCCTACTATACAAATGAATAGAACTTCATTTTCTCCTTAGCACCTTTCCCCAGAGCATTGCTACTGGTGCGTATACAACACGTCTCCAACCACTCCGTGATTTGTTCTACCAATGTGAACATTCCTTGTGCATCAGGAACAAAGGGAAATGGCTGCCATGCAACTTGGAAAGGAGCATTTTTTTTTTTTTTAAATCTTTTCCTTCCTTTTTTTTTTTTACCCTTTCTCCCTTGTCTCCTTCTACACCGTTTCAGCAAAAATGCCTCTCCTTTTGTACTGCTGTTTAATCTACAAACTGATTCTTCTGAGCTCTGAATCTGAGAATGGAAAAACAGGAACACACCACAGAAGCACCCTCTGAAACACTTTGGAGACAAGCATCTACTCAAATACTAGGTGCAGTGATAATGATTCACTTTTGCTTCCAGTAGCAACACCACATTACAGCTGCCTTTTTTTTTTTTTTTAACTTTCCCGTTTGGCTCTTTATATGCAGATTGGTTTCTTCCCTGCTTCCAAATCTGCCTTCTATTTGAGGACTTCTCGGCTTCTATGGCTTCATTGTACAACTAGAACTGAATGCATGATGATAGCCTAGAGTACTTTAAAGTACTGAATAGATTTTATTCTTTATGGGATGTATTCACAGGGACAATAGGAGAATCTGTGGTGGAGACAGGCTGTGGTGTCCTCAAAAGGAACAGGAATTCTGCACTAAGTCACATTAAATTATTCCAGTAGCAGATGCAGAAACTTGTTTCCTTCCTTTGAGTAGATTGCAGGCTTGACAGCCAGTGGACCATGAAGTGCCCTCTCCAGGTTGCTTTGCTCTAGGATCCCTCTGTGCATCAAGGTGGTTTTGCCTCTGAAAGTGTAAACTTGTTTACCAGTGTACATAATGCAAGAAAACTAGTCATGCCAAAATCTGGATTTGTAGTTCTGTCACTTCCCCCTAGCAGTAGTGTCATGAAAAATAGGATGGATTTTTTTTTTCTTTTAATTCATAGTGGCCTGGAAAATCAGTAATTATTTATGTTTTCCAGTATAGAAGTCCTGGTCTGTTAGATTGTCTTGAGGGTGGTAGGTGTATTTATGAAAGCTCTGGTATAAGAATGTAATTTGGGGAAGTACATATTATCCTAAATATTTCAGAATATATTTCTACACAAATCTCTTTGCAAGTGTAAGATCATGAATATAATGTTGATAAATTCGAGAGCTCAAAATTCTTGAAGGTTCAATAGTAACATAGTTTTCTGTGGCTAGATTGGCAAATGACCTCATGTAGTTCAGCCCGAGCACCCTATAGTCTGGGAGGTCCTTCCAATACAACCAAAAAACCCTGGGAGCTTCTTTATTGAAGAATCAGTGTTATAACTGCTTCTCTGTCATGTGTTAACATTTCTATAAATTCTTACCAGTCTCAAACTATGTTCAAATGTGCATTTTCTTTTTTTCTCAGTTCCTTTAATCATCACTTTTGTGGAAGAATAACATGCAAGTCTCTGAAGGATTTTTGATTTGTTTTAAATTAAGGAATTGCGAAGTGAAATGTTGCGCTTTATTGTTTTGCAGAGTGCAGCACAATTCCAGAAAGAAATGTAAATTAAAAACTTTTACTCTGTATGAGAAAGATACATTATAGTTTTATGACCATGTCATGTAAAATAGGAATGTAACAATGTTTAACAGATTGAAAAGTAAAAAAGTGTTTGTAGGCTTTGTGATCTGCTTTTAAAAGTAGGTGTTGCTCTCTTCTGGCTCTATAGTTGTAACCTACAGTTGTGCCTTATTGTCCCAGTGAGACTGGATATTGTATTTATCAATCCATAAATAAACCCTCCACTGTATAAAAAAAAAAAAGCCAAACCAACAAACTATTCCTCTATGGTAATTGACTATTCTTTAATGACTGGAAAAGCGAAATACAAGTCAAATGTTGCTAGCAGGCCTTACAGATCAATATTTTTTTTTTTTTTTTACAACTGAGCTTGTTTTCAGATTATTAATAACTCCTTCACTCCTGCTGGTAGAGTAGAAGAAACTACTGCAAAACATGAGCTCTGGAAGAGGACCTGCACTCATAATACTGCATGAGCTTTACACCTCTCCATGGTTCCAAACTTGGCTTTTTATTTCCCCACTCCTTATGGTGTTGGAGTGTTGTTCTGTTAAAGGGTGTGTATATAATACTCATGCTAGTTTGTGATGTCTGTCCTTAAAGCCCCCACATTAGAAATCAGGTATTTATGCTAGTGTGCTTTAAGGTGAACACAAATATTCTTAATAGGTGCACAGAAAAAAAAAAAAGCCCAAACCAAACCCCAACTCACCTTCCTGCAATAGTCCCCCGTCCCCCCCAGTTATCAGAATCTAACTTTGCTGTTAGTTGTATAAATCCCATGGAAGCCACTAAGTATCTTACTCAGTGTTCTGAAATCTACATATTTAACATGTTACTTAAAAGGTTGTAGTAAGAGAAGTTTAACAGAGCTGAGATAATAAATTTGTAAAATGCAGATATCCACAAAGTATTATTTTTAGTATACCTGATTGCATGTAGAAATTAAATCTTCTTGAGAAAAAAGGTCATCTGTGAAGGTTAAGGTTATCACCTCAAAGGCAGAACTACTTAATGTTTCATCTTTGTCTTTTGAAAAAGCAGTATTATGGGATAGGTACTTAAGTACAGATGAACCATTTTCCAGTCTGCTGGCAAATAGGAAGTAGTCGATTTTCAAATCCGCAGACTCAAGTTTATTATATTGAGAGTCTCTGGATGGTTGGCTGCATGCAGCTACTTGGTTTTCATTAACTGTTAAGAGTATTTTGAAGACTACAGAAAGCGGAAGTAGGTTTGATAGCTAATCAAAACTGAAAGGTGGCAAATGAGTTGACTTAAATAGCTGTAGGCCCATTAGCTTGGCATCGAGTCTGGGCAAAACAAAACAATCTGAATACAGGATTTGCTGCTCATGAGGAGCAGAAGTAAAAATAATGTTAGTTTCCATAACTTTACAATGGAAAATTACTTGAAGGGGCTGCTTTTGGTTCTTTGGAACTACATTTTTGGTTGTAAGTAGCGCATTGATACAATACCGAAGTTGGCAGGAGTGTTTCATTGAAGCTGACAATCTGCATTAAAACACTACATAGTAGAAAAGCGTGCATTAAATGGATTAAGATTTCAACTGAAATGGCTTGTAGTAGTTGTCTGTGATGAATCACGGTTAAATGGGGGTGTTTCTCGAGAGTTTTCTGAATGGGTAAGTATTCCTCTCCACGCTATTCAATACACTCACCCGTCAGCTTGAAGTGTAAAATTACCGCTGCTAAAAAAAAAAAAAAAAAGTAATTTTTGCAGATGACACAAAAACTGGCAGAATGAATAAAGGCAGTTATTCAGAGCAATCAAGATCACATGATAACGGCGGCCCGTGCAGGCGGCTGTGCCGGCTCAGCCGGGATCTCACACGGGCAGGCGGCGGTTGGGGCG